GGGGGGGCGAGCCAAAGAGAACTGGGGAGAGGCGGCAGAAGGCAGGCTGCTTGGGGAGTGTGCCAACCCAGCCTCATTCCCACCCCAATGTCTAGTTCTCAGGCCCCAGTGCAGAGCAGATGCGTAAGACCTACTCGGAGTTCTGCAGCCGCCACACCAAGGCCTTGAAGCTCTATAAGGAGCTGTATGCACGAGACAAACGCTTCCAGCAGTTCATCCGGGTGAGCAGACCCCTCCCGGAACGTTCCTCTAATGGCCCGAGCCCCACCAACCCTTCTGGATGGTTGTATGTGTGCTGTACCCACGTGGGGTCCAGGGATTTGGCCAAGGACCCTTGTGGACAGCCTCCCCAACCCCCCCCCACGCAGGATCACATCAACAATACTGGTGGGGCCCTTCATAGCCATTCCTTTACTTTCACTGAAGGGGCTCTGATGGCATTGTGGGTTAAGTTTGGGGCTGCTAACCACGTCGTCAGTTCCAACCCACAGCCGCTCCAAGGGGGCATAACGAGGTTCTGCTCCCACAAAACCTCACAGGCTGGGAAACCCTCTGGAGCAGCTGCTCTGGTCTGCCCTTGAGGGTCACCGTGAGCCAGACGGGCTTGAGGCGTGGGTGGGGGTGTTGGGCCTCAGGACAAACCTGCTTGCGTCTTCACCGCTTTTCAGATGTGAGCAATCAGCAAGACTAGGTGAAGTAACTGGCCAGGGCAGGGCCAGCCCAGAGGTCGGCCTCTCCAGCCCAGTGTCCCTGAGCCTTGTCTCTTTCCTTGTAGAAGGTGACCCGCTCAGCCGTGCTGAAGCGGCATGGGGTGCAGGAGTGCATCCTCCTGGTCACCCAGCGCATCACCAAGTACCCGGTGCTGGTCAACCGCATCCTGCAGCACTCCCATGGTCAGTAGGGGGACCAGGGGCAGCGGTGGGTCCCGGGGGCCCTGAGGAAGAAGAATCGAGGCATGATGGGAACTGGGGCTGGCATGAAGCCGGCTGATCCCTGCCACCCCCGCCCCTCTACAGGGATGGAGGAGGAGCACCAGGACCTGACGACAGCACTGGGGCTGATGAAGGAGCTGCTGTGTAACGTGGACCAGGATGTGCACGAGCTGGAGAAGGGGGCGCGCCTGCAGGAGATCTACAACCGCATGGACCCCCGCGCCCAGACCCCCGTGCCCGGCAAGGGGCCCTTTGGCCGAGAGGAACTTCTGCGCCGGAAACTCCTGCACGATGGCTGCCTGCTCTGGAAGACGGCCACTGGGCGCTTCAAAGGTCAGCGGGCTGTGAGGGTTCGGAGTCGGCTGTGGAGAGGGCTGGCCCTCGGACTGCTCCTTCTGCAGCCTCACGCCCAGGATGAGACCCACTGGAAAACACGTGGGTCTCTGCTACGGCAGAAGACTGGATTCCGGGTTGAATTCTGCGGCCACACCAAAAAAACCGAGTGGTCATGGAGTTGTTTCTGACCCCGCCCGCCCCTGCCCAGGTGTTCCATGTGTCAGTTAAGGCGTGCTCCGTCGGGTTCCCATGGCTGGTTTTTCAGAAGGAGATTGCCAGGCCTTTCCTCCAAGGCGCCTCTGGGTGGACTCGAACCACCAACCTGTGAGCGTGGTAGCTGTTTGCACGGCTCGTGAGCTCCATGGGTCATACAGGAACTTAGGCATTCATTGCTCTGGGACTCACACCCCCGTTAATGGGAAAGCCAGCGGGATTCCTGAAGCAGAGTGCACAGTTGGGGCGTTCGATGCCACCAGCTGGGACCCCAGCCACCAGGGCAGGAGGTTTGGAGGGAGGCTGGGGCAAGCCGAGTGGAGGGAACAGGCAGAACCCAGGGAAGGATGGGCAAAGCAGAGAAGAGCAGGGAGTGGCGTCGGGACACTTTCCCAGGCTGCCCTCCCAACATCTGTCTGCACTGGCCCGTCTTCCTGCCTCAACCACAACAAGAGAAAAGCAGGCCTTGGCGTTGTGGTGAGGCATGAGGGAGGAGAGGAAACGGCTCCCCGAGGCCGGAGTCAGCCTCTAGGAGCCTCTGTCCCCCCATCTTGACAACTCCGGTCCACGGGCTGGGATACTGTCAGTCTTCAGCAGCCTCTCCTTCCCATCTTTCCCATCCCGCCCACGCAGCAGCTAAGAATATCAACTATGGGGGGGGTTAAAAATAGCAAGGCTGGAGAGCTTTATTTCTGAAGCATTTAGCAAAAGCCCTCCCCGTCGGCGTGCCCACAGTTTGGCAAACTCTCCAAGGGCAAGGGGGCGGGCTTTCTTGACTGTGACATGCACGTTGGATGGAATTGACCTTTGTTTTCTCCACGGGTCTTAAAAGTGCAGGACTCCAGCCCTGAAGGACCCAAGAGAAGCGCCTGAGGGGTGGGGTGCAGGAGGAGGGAGGGGCCTGGCCTGCTGGACTGAGAAAGAGCTGGGGGCGTGGAGAGAGGCCTTTCCGTTCTTTAGAGGAGAGCACCCAACTGTCTGTGTCCCCCCAAGCACTCGGAGAGGGAGAAGCAGACACAGTGCTGGGGCGGGGTCGGCTGGGTCAGCTCCTCAAAGGTCTCAGCTGTGAAGGCCGAAAGAGGGTCCATGCCTCCTGCTCTGGGACACGCCCAGACATCCTGGACCTTTCCACCTGGGAGACTGCCCCTGTGCTGTATTAACACATAAAGCCATCAACCCAACTTGGAGGGGGTTTCCGGGGACCCGGAAGGCTGCCCGAGGGCTCTCTCTCTAGCCCCCGGCTTAAGAAACTTGCATTTGTGGGGTCCGAAGGTGTTTGCTCTATGATCCCTCAAGACCCCCTCTGGTGTGCTCTGTCACGAATACCCCTCCCTGCCACCCCCTTTCTGAGCTACAAGAGTGAGGTGTTGGGAGATGGGAAAAGCCGGAAGAAGCGATCAGAGAGGCAGAGACCGGCAAGAGCAGAAACAGTAGCTCTGACCTGATGAGGCAGCCTGGCCCTGGTCCCTCGGAGGGGGCGGGCAGCTGCTCAGAACCTCAGTTGCTGACTAGTGTCCCGACTCTGTCCTTGTGCCAGATGTGCTGATGCTGCTGATGACAGATGTGCTAGTGTTCCTCCAGGAGAAGGACCAGAAGTACATCTTCCCCGCCCTGGTGAGACACCCTCCCCGCGCCCCCATTTCCTCCCTCTCTCCACAGAGACCAGTGTTTCAGGCCCTCCTCACTTACCTCCAAAGGCCCTGGGGGTGGGAGGGCCGTTGTAAGTCGTATGTGGACATAAGGCCGAGAGTCACTAGCGAGTGTTGGGGTCTTGTGCAGGCCTCGCCCCGTGAGGAAGAGCCATCGTGGCCATCCTCACTGTGGACGGGCAGAGTTTAAAGTTCGTGAAGTACTGCGCCAGGGGCCACGTACAGTTTCTTTCCTTGCCCTCCCCGGCCTACCCCAATCCTGGGCTCTGAGCTTCAGTCTTGGGTCGGCTCCTCACTGCTCGGGCTTTGCAGGCTCTCGATGACAGACCCGGGACATCCACGGGCCAGGACTCCCCCCTACTTACTCCGCCCTTTTCCCTGACCTGCAGGACAAGCCCTCTGTGGTCTCGCTGCAGAACCTAATCGTAAGGGACATCGCCAACCAGGAGAAAGGGATGTTTCTGATCAGCGCAGCCCCGCCTGAGATGTACGAGGTCCACACAGCTTCCCGAGACGACCGGAGCACCTGGATGCGTGTCATTCAGCAGAGCGTGCGAGTGTGAGTGTGTGCTTGCCCGGGCGGGTGGCCGCAGGAGCTCTGCCGCAGCTAGTCCCAAAGCCACTGCCCGCTCCGTGAACACAGACCCACCCACCTTCAGAGGGGGAGGCCGAGGCTGGGGCCGAGGCGAGGTGGCCCCCAGCAGGACACGGTCATCTACGTAAAGATCTCACACACAGTGACGAGCCAAAGAACACCACCTGCCAGCCAACACTAGTCTGAGCCAGAGAAACATCTCCATCCGTAGGCAAGGCGGGTTTGTCCTCCGACTCACGGCGACCCTGCAGAACGGAGTAGGACTGCCCCGTAGAGCCTCTAAGGCCGGTCTTTACAGAAACAGACTGGCTCATCCAGACCGTTGAAGATGATGTCAGAAGCATACACTAGCTAGGGCAGTGGTTCTCAGCCTTCCTAATGCCTCGACCCCTTAACGTAGTTCCTCATGTGTGGTGACCCTGTATGTGGGCGTCTCTGCATGTGGGCCCACCTGTCTGGAGGCGGATAGAAAAGCGGTGTCTCGGTTCCTAAGATCATCGGAAATATGGTTGTAGGCAACCCCTGTGAAAGGGTCGTTCGACCCCCAAAGGGGTCTCGACAGGTTGAGAACCGCCGAGCTGGGTGAGGGAATGGATTGTGGTTTTGTTTTCATAATTTACTTCTTTTGGGAGGTTAGGGGTTTGTATACCGGCCCAATGCCACTATATAAGACAAAGTAGAACTGAAAGTAAAATTTTCAGAAACAATGTTCAAAAGTGCAGAAATGCCAGTTTAGGAAAACCATTCAAAACACTTTACCATTGATAGTAGATCCTCAGCGGCTTGTTTCATGGGATCCCTGTTTATAGATGTAGAGAAGAGAACTATGATCCCTGATAGGAAGTAGTCATTTTCAAAGCCCGGTTACACGCTCTCATGAAATCCTAACGGAAAATCTGGGAGGAAAACACCATCCCCATTTTCCAGATGCAGAAATACAGAGGTTGCCAACCTAGTAAATAGTGGAGCTAGGATTTGAACCCAGGGCTTAAATGTTTGACTGCCGAAGAGTGTGGTTCAGATGTTCTGGCCACTCCCCAGAGGCGAGATGTGGCCATCTGCAGGTCACTGCGAGATAGAATGGACTCGGGGACAATGAATTGGGTTGTGAACTTGTCACTGTATGTTGTGCAGCCTGTCCTGGCAGCCTTGGGATTGGTACAGGCCAGTAAACACACAGGATCAGTGCTCAGAAAGAGGGCCGGGCAAGCTTGGGGCTGATGGTCTTACTGGGAGAGGGAGCATAGAACTTGCTTGGGGAGGAGAAGCCCTGGACAGTTCAGGGAAGACCAATTCCTGATCTTGCTTTCTCCTCTCAACTCGCCTCCAGGTGCCCATCCAGGGAGGACTTCCCTCTGATTGAGACAGAGGATGAGGCCTACCTCCGGCGAATCAAGAGTAAGTCCAGCCCCGGGAGGTGGTTAAATCATTTGTAATACGGCCACAATGCTCAACAAAGACCAAGGCAGGTCTGTGGAGACAGAGATTCGGCATCAGGAGTAAAGGTTTAAAGCCATGCAAACCCCATACTACCAGGTAGACGTGTAAAAGCGTGTTTGCATGTGTGAGAGAGAGAGACGATCTATCTAGAACAATATCACTGTGGTTGCCGCTGGAGGCTGGAACTCTGAAGACGAGATTAGGGAGGGTTACTCTTTCACTGTCCGGTCTTAGAGGAGCGTAGGGTCTGACTGCTTGCGAACGGCCACCAGCTGGGAGGTGAGCCGCGTAGGCCACCCACCGGGCAGCTATGGCAGTGATGTGAAGCTTCCGTTTCTGGGCCCGGACACCTGGATCCCAGCTTCCAGGGAGCAAAAGGAACAGAAGTTTTTGTTTGTGCTCTCAGTTTGTTTCTTTTAAGGGCAGATCTGGAGTTTGCTCATGTCCGTTGGCCAGAATGTAGTCAGTCGGCAATGTACAGCTGCCTGGTCGGCTAGGGAATGTCGTTTGCAATGGGGCCACCATTTGCCCCAACGAGACTTCCACGCCTTCTCTAATTAGAGGGCATGGACACCCTGCCACCCAAGCCTATGTTTTTTTTGTTTTGTTTTTTTAATCATTTTATACAACTCTTATCACAATCCATACATACATCAATGGTGTAAAGCACATTTGTACATTCCTTGCCTTCATCATTCTCAGAACATTTGCTCTCCCCTTAAGCCCCTGCAAGCCTATGTTTTAAAAACAAAAGTGTATGTGTTACTTTTCCTCCTGCCCCCCACCCCAAACCGAAACAAACCCGCCACATTCAGTGCTGCCCCTTTGCCTGGCCCGGGCTGCTGGGGACTCAGGTGTCCGTCTCCACAGTGGAGCTGCAGCAGAAGGACCGGGCGCTGGTGGAACTGCTTCAGGAGAAGGTTGGGCTGTTTGCCGAGATGACCCACTTTCAGGCCGAAGAGGAGGGCAGCAGTGGGATGCCCCTGCCCACGCTGCCCAGGGGCCTTTTCCGCTCCGAGTCCCTTGAGTCCCCCCGCGGAGAGCGGCTGCTGCAGGATGCCATTCGTGAGGGTAAGGGAGCCCCCAGGAGAGGAGAGGGCCCAGGAGGTTCTGTGGACACACAGACCAGGGAGGTGTCCACCCCACAGTTGACAGATAACCTATGGTCCCTGATCTCTGCCAGACCTTCTGGTTGGGGCTGGGGGTGGCCGGGGAGGAGGGAGGCGTTGTCTTGCTCCTGTGCAACACCTGGCCCATATCTCAGACCCCCGTGTGCTGAGCGACCCTGTATACTGGGTGAAGGGCATCCCTCCCCACAGGGCTCTATGCTGCTCACCTCTCCCTCCCTCCCTCCCCTCAGTGGAGGGTCTGAAAGACCTGCTGGTGGGCCCTGGAATAGAGCTGCTCTCGATGGCCCGGGACCCCTCCCTGCCCACGGAGCTGGACGGTAGCGGCAACACGAGCCCTGGAGTCACTGCCAGTGAGTGCAGGGCGTCTAGGGAGCGCGCTGGTGGGAGAGACTGCAGAGCAGGAGCCCCCACCGGGGTGAGTGGTGTCCGCCCTGGATAAGTGAGCACGGCCCTCCTTTTTGCCCGGCTCTGCAGATGGTGAAGCCAGGACCTTCAACGGTGCCATTGAGCTCTGCAGAGCGGACTCCGACTCCAGCCAGAAGGTGGGTCCTCAGGAGGCTTCTGGGCCTGGCTGGAGGGCAGGAACACGGGACGACGGTGGGGGAGTCGGTCTACAGAGCCGTCTGGGCAGGTGCCAGGGCCCTGTGTGCCGGCTGACTCTTCATCCTTGCCCTCTGCTGCAGGATCGGAATGGCAATCAGCTGAGATCTCCCCAGGAGGTGAGGTGGGAGGGTGTACGCAGCCCGGCCACTCTGGAGCGGGGTGGGGGCGAGTCTACATCTGGGAGTATCGAAGCCTGTTGCCCCACCCACATCTATCCAACTTCCCGGGCAGTTATCTCGTCGGGAAGCCTGGGCCCCGTTCCCACCTTCTGCTACTCTGTCCTCAGGAGGTGCTGCAGCGACTGGTCAATCTCTATGGACTTCTGCATGGCCTACAGGTCAGCGAGGCCACCACGGGCCAAGGGCGAGACGGGGAAGGAGGTGGGCGGTACCAAGCCAGAGATGCCCATTTAGGAGAGGCAGAGTCACGGGAACGGGCCTTTCTAACACTCCCCAAACCCCAACCCTGCAGGCATGATGGCCTTGGCTTGGGGGTAAGCATTAGTAGTAAAAAGGACCCCAAATTTTTTGTCTGTTGAGTGGATACCAACTCACAGCGACCATGTGGGACAGAGTCTAAGCACCCTGCAGTGAACCTCCATCAGAGTGGGCTGCCTCGGCCTCCCCCTGCCCCCAGCAGCGATAGCGGGAAGCTAATACCCACCTGTCTGTCCCCATTCCACCCCTAGGCGGCTGTGGCCCAGCAGGACACTTTGATGGAAGCCCGGTTCCCTGAGGGCCCTGAGCGAAGGGAGAAGCTGTCCAGAGCCAACTCTCGGGATGGAGAGGCTGGCCGGGGTGGGGCCGCCCCGGGGGCTCCCGAAAAGCAGGCCACGGAACTGGCATTGCTGCAGCGGCAACACACACTGCTGCAGGAGGAGCTGCGGCGCTGCCGGCGGCTGGGCGAGGAACGGGCCACGGAGGCCAGCAGTCTGGAAGTCCGGCTGCGGGAGAGCGAGCAGGCACGTGCTCTGCTGGAGCGAGAAACCGAAGAGGCCCGCCGGCAGCTGGCCGCCTTGGGCCAGGCCGAACCCCTGCCAGCCGAGGCCCCCTGGGCCCGAAGGTCTCTGGATCCTCGGCGGCGCAGCCTCCCCGCAGGCGATGCCCTGTACCTGAGCTTCACGCCCCCCCAGGTAAGGAGGCCTGGAGGCGAGAACTCACCTGGGGAGGGTGCATGGAAAGGCCCACGAGAGGACCACAAGGAATGGGGTTGTGGGGGAGGGGAGCCTAAGTGAGAACCAGGCAGCAGCTGAAAAGACATTTGGACAGGGGGAGGGGTGACTCTTGATAGAGGACAAGTCGGACAGTAGCTCTGAGCTAAAGCACTCGGTTGTAGTTAGAGCAAGGGGCTTCAGTGAGCCCGGTGGGAAGTGGACAGGTCGCAGGACCCAGTAGGGCCTACTGCCTCGGGCCACGCAGTGTCCACCCTGCTCACTTTGTGCCCACAGCCCAGCCGAGGCCATGACCGCCTCGACGTGCCTGTGACGATGCGCTCCGTCCACCGGCCCTTTGAGGACCGAGAGAGGCAGGAGCTGGGCAGTCCTGAGGAACGGCTGCAGGACAGCAGTGACCCCGACACCGGCAGTGAGGAGGAAGGTAGCAGCCGCCTGTCTCCACCGCACAGCCCACGAGGTGAGGCCTGGGTGTTTTGGATGGGCCCCTGTTGACCACTCAGGTCGACCGTGAGCTTTGTAAACAAACCGTTTGTTCACATTCTGTTCTGTGACCGTCGATACAGCCCCCTCAGTGGAACAGCACTCTCCCCACTCCCTCCTGGGCTCCCCGGCGTGGCCCATCTCTCCCGTTCTGCCCCTTCTTGCAACTTGGACTGTGGGTTTGGCGGGTGTGGCCTTTCGGGGTCTTGTCTGGCTGGTGTTCTGACGAACGGCCTCGTGGCCAAGAGCTTGGCTGGAGGGGATCTCGGAGTGCTTCAGTTTTAGGTTTCAGGGGTCCATACGGGCCACTCGACTCAGGGGTTCCACTCGTCTATCAAGCCGTTAGATCTGGTCTGTTTTTTCTTTCATGATTTTGAATTTTGGTCTCTGTTTTTCACCCACTTCTGTTGTGATCCCAGTGAGAGTGGTGATAGCAGGAGCCAGTCACCGTCTCGTTCTTCTGGTGCTGGGCTTCTAGAGGCCGTGGTCCCTGTGGGCCACTACACCCTCTGAACTAACGGTTTCTTTGAGTCTGATCTTCACCTTTCTGGGCGCCAGCAGGAAGAGGGCAGAGTTGAGTGACCCCAGCCCTTCGGGAGGAGGATGGGGACAGTTGTCCTAGCCCAGATTGTGCTAGGCCATCTGGGTGAGGCCGTGCCTCGGGGAGGGCAGAGACCTCCAGTTCTGTCTGATGAGTGCTGGTAGCCTCTGGGAAGTAAAATGTTGGGCTCTTTCTCGCCAGTAGGTTGATGATTCTCGACCTTTTCAAGCACATTTTAAAATTCCCAAGTAAAACAACAACCCCCCCCCCCCAAAGTAACAATTTCCAAAAGCTCCCTAGTTCCTCTAGTTAGTTGGAGAAGTGCACCCGCTCCTCATGTATCAACAGGTTCAGGCTCTCAGAACCAGTCATTATGTGAAACTCAGCGACATTTGTGCAAAAAACGGAGGGTGATGACATCAGAGCTACCAAAGGGGCAGGAGTACCTAACCACCGGACCACTGAGAGTCATGGTCCAGCCATGCTGGCCTGGCGTCGGGCCCTTTGTTGATGGGAAACCGATCATTGGTGCGCAGCATGATCAGAGAGTAGATGTTTAACCCGCTGTCAGTGTGAACTGTCGGAAAGAGAGACCGTTGCTAAGTGAGGGTAGGAGTACAGAGTAGCCAAGAGTGGTTACTGACTGCACAAGATCCCCGGGGGCTGCGATGCGCCTCCAGGTCAGCAGTTAAAAACCACCTGCCAGCTCCGAGGGGGCCTTTCCACACCTGTCAAGAGTCAGCCTCGGAAACTCCCGGGGTTACTTGCACCCTGTCCTGTAGGGCCACTCGCTGTTGAGTCGGCATGGACTGGAGGGCCGTGAGGGAGATGGTGACTGTGCATAATAATCTCATCATGGAGTGTACTCTGTTAACAAGGCTTTGTCTTTGTATGCAGACACACTAAGTACCTATGTGTGGGCGCATTGCTTGCGCTGTTGTTACATTATCCCCCCGGACTGAAGGAGTCACAGACAAATGCCCCGCCCCCCACAGCCCTGAGGGGCCGTCTGCACTGGCTGCGATTCCTCACCACTTGTGCCCTCACCGGCTTGGTTGTGTCTCCCGCAGACTTCACGCGAATGCAGGACATCCCGGAGGAGACGGAGAGCCGAGACGGGGAGCCTATAGCTTCAGAGAGTTAAGGGGGCCCCTCCCCCTGCCCTGTGCCCCATGAAGAACATTACTGAGGGGGGCAAACCTTGGGAACTCCGCAATCTGCCAATGGTGAGGGGCGCATTTGAAAGAACTGCTGTCTGCCTTTGCCAGCTCTCAGGATCCTTGGCGATCTGGGGCCGCGTAGGAAGCTGGGGGAGTGAGGGCACAATGCCCCCTGGTGGCATCCAAAAGCAACACCACAGATGCCATTTTTTCATGCCTTCTTCCCCGACTCTAGGAACATTTATTTATTTATTATTAGTTATTGGGGGAGAGGGGAGATGTAAAGGACCAGGGACATGGGAACCAAGCCATAGGGATCAGGAGGCCTTGGCCTTTAACACTACTGGGGTATTTGGGGGGCTTAATCATGCAGCTGCTGGGCTCTTGCCCAAACATCTCTCCCCAGACAACACGCAGCTTTTGAGGGAAGGCTGCAGCCTCAGGACCCCACTGCCCCTTTAAGAAGGGCTGTGGGCAGGGCCATGCCCCTCCCCTGTCTCCCCTCCACCCCTCACCTGCTATTGGCCATTCTGTGCATCTTCATGGAAACCCCAGGAGATCACCTGGGGGCTTCCTAGAATTGCCAGGCTAGAAGTGGAGGTGGCCATCATGGTTTGTTGTGGGTGAGGGGGGAAAAGAAAAAGCCCCACAGGGACCAGAATATTTTGTTTGTTTGTTTTCTTTTTTGTACCAAAGCCAACTGCACGTGTTTTATATTTGTAAGAGAAGACCGTAGGCAGTTAGAGATCACAGCCTTGTAGCTCGAGGTCTGACCCACTTGAGGGGTAACGGGGCGGGGGGAGGGGCGGGTGACGTCTTCACACAGACAGAAATGGGGTGCCTATTCTGACCTCTTCCCCAGCCGTTTTGGGAATGGAGTTCTAGGGTGGGTTGGGCAATCGACAAACCTCACCCTCACCCCTCACCTCAGCTACCATAACCCGGACACCTCAGTGTGAATTAAGAGGGGGGGCCCCGGTGCCTACAAGCCCCCGTCACTTTTTGCCAATCTGATTTAAAAAAAAAAGAAAGAAAAAGGAGGGGGCGAAATATCAAGCAGGGAAAATTAAAAACCTGGAACCCCATGAGGTGTTGTGTCTTTTGATGTCTGCTGAGGGGGAGCCAGGCAGGGATGGCCGTGGGCTCCTGTGCAGGGGACCTGACCGAGAACATGGACGGGAAGCTGCGGCACATCGTGGACTGGCGGACGGATAGTCACGGGAACAAGAGTGAAAGTCAGGGGAGCCGTTGGGCTGCGGGGCCTCCAGGGAACATTCTAGGAGAGTCCGATGGGGAATGTCGTCGCAGAGCGCAACATTGGCACTCCGCTCTCAAAGTCCTGTGGGCCCACTTCCCTCCCTCCTGGCACAGTTGCTGTTACCTTCAGCCCCGCCTTGCCCACGTTCTCCATGGTGTCCCTGGTGGGTCACCTCCGAAGACCAGGTCCCTCCAGAAACTGCTCACTTGCTCTTGGTCTCTTGTGCAGGCGGTGAGAGATGACGGGGTTTCACTTCTTGTTTTCAATTGGTTTTATTTCCTGCTTCTGGCCAGTGCCCTGCTCTGGAGCTGGGGGTGGGGAGACACTAAGGGCTGGCACATAGCCCCTCGGAGCTTGTTGGGGCGGGAGGCATGTAAGGTGGGGAGAATGGTTTCTTAACTGGAAAGGGGAATTGAAATGGGGGGCGGGCCGTGGAGCAGTCCGCACCTGCTTCCACCGTCATCTGGCCTTTGCCAGGTCCTATCTCAACCACTGCAGGCATTCCATGAGGTCAGACTGTTCTCAGGTGATTGACAGGGAAGAGCCTGAAGACGCTAGCCCGGAAGGGCTGGTTTTAGCCCTCCGCTTCTCATCCGCTCCGCCTAAAAATATCAGAGCTCCCAGTTCCAAACACACTGAAACCAGGCTCAGCAACTCTTGTTTTGTTAGCTGGCAGCAGCTGGGACGCACAGCTGTGCAGATTGGAGGGAGGGAGGGAGGAAGGTGTGAGAGGCTGGGCTGTCTACAGAAACAAAACCAGGGACACTGGATGTGGAAGAAAGATCTATGTATCAAGAAGCACTCTGAAGAAGGCAGTCCAGCTTAAGCCATGGGTCTGATGCTGGCCAGAGCCCCTCTTCAGAGTCAGCACAGCTGCAGACGAAGGACACAGGAAGGTCACAGGCCACGGGTGCAGCAGAGACATGTAGGTCCAAGGTCAGTAGAAATGGTGCCCACGGCTCTCAGGGTTGGGTGACCCACATGGGGCCACACCCGTGGAGGCAGGCACAGAGTCCAGCTAACAGGAAGGGGCAGAGAGAGGAGGAGTCCCCAGTGTCTCCTAAACAAGCCTCACGGCTCACAAGGCATCAGCAGGCAGTGACCTGATAGGTTGGACTCCACCCCTCTACTTCCATACAAATGCAAGTTGACATAAAATCTAACTCCCACAGAAGGCCAGTCTTTTGTAAAAAAGATTTCAGAGCACTCCGAGACCAGCAGGGACAGGAAGGGGAGTCCCTGATGTTCTCACAGGGACCCAGTGAGGGAAGCCAGACACTGGGCAGACACACCCCGCAGTGGGGCTGCATGGAAGCCTTCAGTCAGGACAAACACTGCTCTGGCCCTCCTGCCTCCCTTGTACCCAGACGTGACATTGAGACGCTTGGTGTGGCTGTTCCCGAGAGGCCCTTCGCTCACATCTTTCCATCATTCCTCTGTTCTCTCCCTAACCCCGCTTGGGCAAGCTCAGCCCTGAGCTGTATCCCACCTGCCCCAGGGAGCCTTTTCTGTACCCCATTTCAGAACCTTTCCCTTCAGAGAGGCCCCAACTTAAATGGCCAGTGCCCTCACCTGACGTGCCCAGCCCTGATGACCACGCCCTCCCCCTACCAGTCCCCCTGTGCATAGGTCTCAGCGTTCATTCATCTGACTTGGGCCCTGTTTAAACTCTGTCAATATTTGCTTCCAGTTCCCATAAAGCAGAGATGCCCCCAGAGGAGCCAATATCCGGAGCTGGGGGTGGAATGGGATGGAGAAGAAGGCCACTTTGATGGGGGATAATTTTCCCTCTTCCTAAACTGGCTGGGAGCAGACCTCATGCTTTGGAACCAGTTTAAACATCAGAAACAGGAGGCGCCCAGAGGTTAATTCGATGTCTTTCACCTTACTTGCTCAATGGTGTGACTTGGGGGAGCTGTTCAGAGCCTCTGATGCTCAGCAGAACCCCCCATGTAACCCTGGGATAGTAGTTGGCCAAATCATCCTGGATTACACACAAGCTATAGAGCAGCGGTTCTCAACCTGTGGGTCGCGGCCCCTTTCGGGGGTTGAATGACCCTTTCACAGGAGTCGCCCGATTCATCACAGCAAAATGACAGTGATGAAGTAGTAACAAAAATAATTTGATGGTGGAGGGTCACCACCACACGAGCTGTGTGGAAGGGTCGTGGATTAGGAAGGTGGAGAACCAGTGGCCGAGAGCTTGGCCCGCAGGAACTCTGAAGTGGGTTCTCCACTCGGCTGCCTCCTCGCCCTTCCCCAGGTCGCTCCTCAGTCATGCCTGACCTTCATGGCGGGTCTCTCTGGGTGTGGAAACCAAAGGGGTGCCTCATCCCCTCGAACCCGAGTTCCTGAGTTTATCTGGAAATCGTCCCCCTTTCAGGAAAAAAAAGACCCAGCACCCTGCTGGCACGAGAGCCCACAGCCCTGGGTGAATGACAGCTCTCTGCTTCGCAGGCCTTTGGGATCATACCAGTACCTCCAGTTCCCACGGGACGCCGCAGCCCACGCTGGGGAAACTGCCCGAGAACGTGCTTTGCATTAGTGACTGAGGACCAGCCACTCCGTCCTTCGTGGCAGCTTCACTCGCTCCACAGCAGAGTGCACACCATTCCAAAAAAGACCTCACAGAGCCCCTGCCTCCACCCCCATTGGCCCCTTCTTGTCCGTCTCCATGTTTACAAGGGGTATTAAAAGGCCGGTGAGCACCAATGGTCATCTGCTAGCCTTAAGGTCGGCGGTTCAAACCCACCCAAAGGTGCCACAGAAGAAAGGTGTGGCAACCTGCTGTAACAATCAAAGCCACAAGAAGCCTGTGGAGCAGCTACGTGGACACAGGTCCTTTGCATTGGAAGCAGCTGCAACAGTTGGTTTTTAGTAACAGGACTTCATCCAGCGAACAGTCCATCAGACAAAACCAGGGCACACAGGGGTAGAGGAACTTGCCCCCGGTCTCCCCTGGTTAGTGCCAGAGCCAGTGTGTAAGGACAGTGCTGTTGCCTGAGTTTGCCCTGCTGTCAGCCATACAGTAGGTGTGGGGGGTGGGGGGATGAGCGCCATTTTTGATGCTACTTCATTGCCATTGCCTCCAGCCTCTTCCCCCAAGCCCTTTCCACATCTCGGCCCCGCTCATGTCATTGACTTCTCCCCTCCAATCTGATTTAAGGAGACACACATGGGTGGCCCCATCCAGGCCCAGGATGTTATGCCTTAGACTGGACCAGTGAGGAGGGCAGGCAATCTAGTAACACCCACTGCACCTACTGGGCAGCTCCCTTTGGCAGCTGAGGCCTCTGCAGGCACCCGGTTCCTGGGGCACCCTGGAGAAGCAAAGGGGTGGGAATGGCCAAGGAAGGAGAGTGCTGTTGGCCTTGGCATCAGGGATCGGCGAGGCACATTCCATTTTAAGGTGAAGCTGAGGGGTGGGAGAAGACAGGAAGATGGGCCCAGAGCTCTTGCTTTATTAGCCTAGAATCCTCAGGGAAATCGTCCTGGGAATTCTTACAGAAGGTGGAAATGGAGCCGGCGATCCTTGAACCTCACAATGAGCCGGAAGGGGAACCCAAACCAAACCAGACTCACTACCACAGGTCGATGCTGACTCTTAGTGATCCCACAGGTCAGAGTGGAACTGCCCCTGTGGGTTTCTGAGACTGGAAGGGGAGGTGGGATAAAAAGGCCGAGAAAGAAGCCATGGACAATCTGGCGATTTATTTGTAGGAACCTCTCCTCCCCACCTCTTAATGGAAACAAGCCTCGTCCACCCAGCCCTGACTTGGGCTTTGATGTCCCCTTCCCCTGCACCTGGAGGTAGGGACTCTGAGACCACCGGATCCTGGCAAAGGGACCAGCTGCCTGGATCCTGCATCCAACAGGTCCCAGGAAGGGAAGGGGATTCAGCTTGGACCCCTGCCCTGGGGTACCCCCTTGTCCAGCTTGGTAACCATGGTGGAAGCCTCACTCTCACGGGGACTGCCAGCTGCCCACTGCTCGCCTACCTCATCCAAAGCCACCTGCTCCCCGCAGTCCTGGCCCTGGGGCCATGGCTTCCCTCGCCAATTCCTGAAGATGTCCAGCAGAGCCCGCCTAGGCTCCCGCCGCAGGAGACAGTACAGCACAGGGTTGAGGCAGCTGTTGCTGTGCGCCAGGCAGGTGGTGATGGGGAAGACATAGGTGTGGACAGTGTAGAAAGTGTCATCCTCGGGCACCAGGTCAAACTTCACCAGGATGCCCCAGAAAGTGACCACGTGGTTGGGGAACCAGCAGAGGAAGAAGGAGGCCACCAGGATTCGGACAGAAGGGGCCACAGCCCTGCTGTCCCTCCACTGTCGCTGGCGTCGCCGCAGGAAGGCCAGCAGGAGAAAGTAGCTGGTGGCAATGATGCCCAAAGGTACCAGGAAGGCCAGCACCACCCTCTGCAGATGGTAGGCCCCCAGCCAATACCTGCTGGGGAAGCGAAGCAGACACAGACGCACGCCCCACACTTCTCCTTCAGCCCCAAAGACTGCCGTGGGCACCGTCGCCAGGGCAGCAGCCACCCACATTGCCATGGTGGCTACTCGAGCCCAGAAGAGCGAGAGATGAGTGCCTGGGCCTGTAGCCATGACCACCACCCAGTAGCGGGCCACACTCAGCGCCGTGACAAGGAATATGCTGGCGTAGATGTTGAGCACGGTGGCCGTCAGGACCACCTTGCAGAGGGCACCTCCGAAGGGCCAGTAGAAGTCCAGTGCCATCTCAGCTGCCCAGAAGGGGAGGGTGAAGGCCAGCCCCAGGTCTGCCAGAGCCAGGTTGAAGATGAAGGTATCGGAAGGCGGACGGGGGGCCTGCCGAGCGCAGTCACCCAGCACCCATAGTACAGCCAAATTTCCCAGCAGGCCCATGGCCCCCACCAACCCATAGGCCAGGGCAACCGTGACCCTCAGGGCGAGGGAATCCACCGACACTGCAGTATCATCAGCACTCAACACGCTGCCTCCAGAGGTGTTGACCCAGAGGAGCCCAGGGGAGGCGCTGGGAGTGGGCATCTCTCTCAGCACAGGCTCTGAGCAGAAAGCTCTGGGCGTGATTGCCTGATTGGGGCCTCGACCTGCTAAGAGCCCAGCCTACGCCCACACCTGGGAGGGAGGGGTGTGGATGGGATGGGACAACCTGCCCCTTCCCTGTGGGTAATGATTGGTGGTGGGTGGGGCAGAGTGAGGGAAGTCCTGTACTTGGATAAATTGTGTGTGTGTGGGTGTGGGTGTGTGTGTGAGAGAGAGAGAGAGAGAGGCTGTATGTGGCAGGGGGGGGAAAGAAATTATCCCCATATGGAGGTCAACCCCAAATTTCCACCCCCAAGAAGAAGGCTGGCTGTAGACCCTTCTATTCCTGTGGAAGACTCCCTCTCTGCAGAAAGCATTTCCTTGGCATCTAAGGGAAGAGGCCTGGGAGGGTCCGTGGAGGATAGGAACCAGTGTGGATCCGAGAGGAAAGGGCAGAGGTTCTGGGTTCCAGATTCGCTCCTCGTTCGCTGGGTGGCTTTGGGCGATTCACTCAACTCCTCTGAGGCGATTCCCTTGCTTAGAATTTTCAGACAGAAGTCTCTGCTGCACAAGCTTGGTGCTGCGACGAGACGAGACGACGGCTGTGAAAGGCCCATCAATATCCACATGCTTCCCGATTATTTCGAGGAGCTGGTGTGTGGTGGAGGAAGGGAGCGGGTACTGAGCAGCTATTACCAGGCCCAGGGAACCGTGCCAACTAAAACACAGGTTGGAATTAATCTCTTCAGCAAGCGACCTTGAGGGTAAGGGCAGGGAGGAAAAGGGAGAGGAAGTCACAGCTTCCTGTCCCCTCCCCACTGGGAGCATTGAGCCTGTGAGCACCTGAGAGGCCCGGCCCTGCAGTTCTGTGCTTGTTCCTGGGATCAAGTAAGCCTGCTCACCTTGGTCACTCTTTTTACCCGGAACCTTTTCCTTCTCCCCTCCCAATCACACCCCCCACCACCCGCTGGGAGCCCGAGCCCAATGATACCCCCAGTCTGCTGGAGTCCTGGATCCTGATATTGACCCTCACCACGCCTCATCCTGTCTACCCATGATCTCAGTCCACACTGGAAAATGTGCCTCCCCTCCACGCCCATAGCCACACTCATTGCAGGGAAGCTGTGCTGGGTGGGGTGGGGGTGGGGGGAAGGTGGGAGGTGGGAGCTGGGTAGGTAAAGTGTAAGGCCTTTTTTTGCCAAGCATTTCCACCTGTTCAACACCTTTGTGCCTTTGGCAGGCTAAAGAAGGCAAGGTGTTCAGCCCCATCCCCTCAGCATGCTGCTGGAGAAGGAGGCCCTTGCAGGATAATACATCAACGGCGGGTCTCGTGAACGCAGAAGGAGAGACCAGGAGAAGAGAAGGCTTTAGATTGGGTGCCCGGGTGCTGGTGTTTTAGCATGAGGAGGCGGCGTCAGCAGGGTGCTCACCAGATCAGCTGAGCCCTGCTCATTCTGCTCCCATGTGACCTCGTGCCATCATCCATCTCTGTGGGCCCTGTCTGCTCTTCAACATGCCCAGATTCACCTTGCCCAGCCGGCAGTGAAGATAGCAGCTTCATGTTTGGGACTTATTTTCTCTTGGCTTGGAAAAAAGAAGCGGGGCCGGAATTTCCAAGGTTCTGCTATTTATTTAAAAGATCCGGTCCTCAGACCCTTTCTTTTTTACCTTAGTTCGTTTGTCATGTGAATTCTCTTCCTTGGCCGGTGGCTGCACCACCCTCTTGTGTTTCCATAGAGAGGTGATGCCACCCCCTGGCCAGGGCTCTGAACTTCACTTTGGGCTTTTTCGCTTTTCCAGCATTGCCTTCATTCACGTGGTTGGGAATCACATCTCCTGGATCCTGGGTTAAGCACCGTGCTGGAGAGAGAATGAAAACACAACCCTTCTCCTGGTGAAGAGGTGGTTAGGACCACACAGTCCAATCCCTCAGTACGGGGTGAAAGCGACTGGCCCAAGGCCACCAGGGAAGTGGTGGCTGAGTCAGCATGTCAATGGTCTCTTGGCTCCTAGATCATGGCTCTTCCCACGATGCTCAGTAGACTTTTCTTCCCACTCATGATCACTGTCCCCTTCCTGGGGACCAGACGCTGCCCTGGGGAGGCACCTAGGCTGTGAAGGGAAACCGCATCAGGATGGGGACTTCTCTCTGAGTGGTTCCCATCCACCGCTGCCAGGAAGGAGGAGGAACGGTCCCGACAGTTTAGTGTTGCCCACACTCACCTGGGCAACTCCACTGCTCTAGGGCCAAGCTTGAGAGTCTCCTCCGCAGCCTCAGCCAGAGTCCACATGAGTGTCTGCCCTCCATGCAAAATGACGTCCAACAACAAATGGCCTTTACAGTTTCTGACTATCCACCGTCGCTCGGCACACGGTCTCTCTGGCCCAAAGGGGAATGAAAAGAGGAGGCAGAGGCCTGAGTTATTCCCCCTGCAGAGCCTAGAGAGAAGGATGGCTTACATTTGTAGCAAAGAGGACTGAGGCTAGAGCTTTGATTGGGGGGGTGGCGGCGGGGAGGTTTGCAAGATCCATCACCCTACCCAAGGAGTCACCCCACCTCTGGTGCCTCCCCAGCCTGAGCAGACAGGCGGGGCGGGGTGTGAGCAACGTCAGTGCTCAGCCACATGTTTGTTCTCTTTTCCTTGAGTCAACCGTTTGGAAATCATTTTAGATTTATTTAAAAAAAAACAATTCCAAAGACCATGAGAATAGTGTCTTTTATTTTCCAAATCAAAATAAAACTGGCAGGGCATCAAAAATACATTGTTCCTAGGAATAGATAGGACAATAGTAGTACACTACCCATGCACCCCAAACTATCACATATTGCTGATGGACAATTTTAAAGTTCTAAATTAATGGAGAAATGTTTCATGCTCGGGTGTCAGAAGAGTCGGTATTTTTCTAAATTGATCTGTCGATTGAAGGCAATCCCAATGAAAATGATATCAGGCTTTTTCAGTGACAGTTGAAAACTGACAAGCTGATTTAAAGATTCATTTGGCAAGGATCAATCTAGAACCCCCTCCCAGGGGGACGAATAATGGAAAGGTGGGTGAGGGGTGACAGAGGACGATATAAGATATGGAAATAATAATCTATAACTTATTAAGGGTTCGTGAGGGAGGGCAGGTGGGGGAGGGGGATGAAATGGGAAGCTTATATTAGGGGCAAAAGTGGGAAAAGAATGCTTTGAAAATGATGATGGTGGCATATGTGTAAATGTGCTTGACACACTGGAGGAATGTATGGATTGTGACAAGAGATGTAAGAGCCCCCAATAAAAGTATTTAATAAAAATAAATAAATAAAGATTCACTTGGAAATCCAAAGGACCCCGGCTGGCCTTTACAGTTTTGTACAAGAAAATAACAAGTTCGATGACTCACACGTCCTGATTTCAAGGCTTGTTTCAGAGCTTCAGTAGTTAAGTCAGTGTGGAATTGGCAAAAAGGAGAGATACCTAAATCAATGCCACCGAATAGAAAGTTCAAAAATAAGCCCAGATAAACCACAAACTAAACTCACTGTTGTTAAGTCAGTTCTGACCAGATACCAGTGGTTAATTGATGTCTGACAAAGGTGCAAAGACCACTCACTAGACAATGATTAGTCTTTAATAAATATTTTTTTAACCACTGAATATCCATATGCAAAACAAGGAGAACTTTGATCAATATCTCTCACTATCTACAAAAATAATACTAATAATAATGACCCAAATGGAACACAGACCTAAGTGTAAAACATTAAACTTGCAAACTTCCAGAAGAAAACATAGGAGATAAATCTTTGTGGCACTTTGAGGTAAAAGATTTCTGCGCCATCCTTACAATTGTTAGGCTTCAGCACACAGCAGCAGCCGGTGGGTCAATCCACCTCCTTAAAGATCTGCCTCCTTTCCGTTAAGCCTCCACTTTACCTTTTCCGGGCACTGATATCTATCCCACGTACCTGAGACAAAGTCTCCCGTCCCGCCCAGCTTCTGAGGCCTATTCTGGCTGGACTGCTTTTAAGACAGATTCGTCTGTTCTTCTGGCAGTCCATAGGTTTTTCAATATTCTTCACCACCACTATAATTTAAGAGCTTCAATTCTTCAATCTTCCATATTCATTGCCTGACTTTCATATGCACATGAGGCAACTAAAAATCCGGGGCCCTTTAGTCCTTATCCTTCAACACTTTAAAAGTGGTCTTGTGCAGCAGATTACCTAGTGCGATACTTGGCTGGATTCCTTGACTGCTGCTTCCACGAGCATTGACTGTGGATTCGAGAAAGATGAACTCCTTGCCAACTTCAATCTTTTCTGTTTATCATGATGTTGTCTATTAGTCTAGTTGTGAGGATTTTTGTTTTCTTTACATTGAGCTGTAATCCATACTGAAGGCTTTGATTTGTTGTGTCACGTGCCTGTGGCAGGTTGTTAATAAGCCTTCCTCCCGTCCTGGTGCTGCGTTCTTCTCCACATAGTCCAGCTTCTCGGATGACTTGCTCCGCATCCGTACTGAGTAGGTATAGTAAAGGGACACAACCCTAATGCACACGTTTCCTGATTTTAACCATTTGCTTATTCTGTTTGAACAACTGCCTCTCGGTGTATGTACAGCTTTGGCATGAGCACAAGAAAGAAAGGAATTCCCATTCTCCGTGTTGTCCGTAGTTTTTTGTCATCTACAGTCAAATGCCTTTGCATAGTCAATAAAACACAAGTAAACACCTTCCTGGTAGTCTCTGCTTTCGGCCAGGCAAATCTGACAGCAGTGATATCCCTCATTCCACATCCTCGTCTGAATCCAGCTACATTGCAGCTAACTGTCCTGTGACAGTCAGGTTTCGTGTCAGCTTGCTTGGGTCAAGATGCTCAGTGGTTTGGCAGGAAAGGTCCAGTCATCCCTCACGATGTGACCTAACACGACGCAATCAAGGCCTTGTGGGAACGGCGGTGAGCAGCCAAACAGTTGATAGAAGATTAGGGTGCAAACCCCTTTACTTAGGTCACAG